TGTTTTTGAATAATTCATCTCAACGTACCAAATCGATAAGATAAGAAACTCCGAAATTATTTCAGTTTGGAATCTGACTTCCAATGATACACCGGCAGTGTTGACAGAAAAAGTAATTTTTAGCATGTAATTCAAACCGTAAATATTTGAACAGTTATAATTTATTAAGATACATTCTAGCACCATACTTCCTTGAGCAAAGCTTTTAGGTACTTCCTGGATTATACACCACCTACCACGCTAGTCGGGGGATTCCTGTATATTATTTGAAAGTTTTTCTATTTCAATAAGTATCGTTAAAAATTATTATACCTGCCCCTCCACCCAGAATATCATTGATTCATTCTGACAGTCCGCATCGTGCTCTCTTGCCGTGCGGATCTATTTGCTTTTTGCTGAAGGAAGTGTTACTACTACCTAAAGCTACAACAAATTTAAACAGCACTTTTCAGTGCTCAACCTGTAAAATTTCTACCTTGTTCAACTTTATTCCTCTTCGATCCTTGTTTGGACCCTACCCGAGGTAATCCTTCTTGGATATCGATTTGGAAAATTCCTCTTCGATCCTTCAGATTCTTATAGTAATCTGCTTGGAAGTCGATTTGGATAATCGCATAATCGCACTTTTCAGTGCTCAACCTGTAAAATTTTTCTACCTTGTTCAACTCCTCTTATTCCTCTTCGATCCTTGTTTGGACCCTACCCGAGGTAATCCTTCTTGGATATCGATTTGGAAAATTCCTCTTCGATCCTTCAGATTCTTATAGTAATCTGCTTGGAAGTCGATTTGGATAAAAATTTACTGCCGCCATGGCGCCTAAACGCAAAAGAAAGGGGCAAACTCTTGACCCCCCTTCTGAAGAAATTAATTTGAGTAATCAATTTGATTTGCTCACGGATGATGAGAATGATCCATCATCCAAGAAAAATTCTAGTAAACTTTCCCGGCTTAATGCCAAGAAAGAAAAGATTCCCCCTATTGTGATAACCACTTCCGATTTCCATGCTCTTCGCATGGAACTTTTGAATTTCGTGAAAGTTGAGTTTTCACTACAAATTGGACGTCGGGGTGAATGCCGTGTATTGGCTGAAACCTTGGACGGATTTAAATGTCTTCTCAAGTATCTTACTGAGAAGAAGCACAAATTTTTTACTTACGACACCAAAACTGAACGTGTGTTCAAGGTTGTCATGAAAGGACTGCCCAGTGGTGAATCCCTGGATCAGATCAAAGATGAACTGGCAAAATTACTTGGAGTTGTGCCACTCCAAGTAATCAAAATGAAAATGAAATCCCGTCCTGGCGATTCGCGCAACGGGATTTCTAATGATTTTTATTTAGTTCACTTCAAGTCTAGTGAACTAAACAACCTTAAGGCCTTAGAAAAAGCTAGCCTTATGCTCCATGTCCGAGTGAAGTGGGAACACTTCAGGAAGACTGGAGGAAATTTCCAAAACCTCACCCAGTGCCGTAAATGCCAGGGATGGGGTCACGGAACTAAAAATTGCTACATGCCAGCTAAATGCATGAATTGTGGTGATTCCTCTCACGCAAAGGACGACTGTCCTGTGAAGGAAGATCCTAAGAAATTTAAATGTACAAATTGTGGTGAAAACCACAAATCCAATTTTTGGGAATGTAAGACTCGCAAAGCGATCCTACAATCTCGTTCTAACCGCCAGGTAAGAAACGCTCCACGTTTCCGACCAGGTACAAATTCCTCTGCTGTTAACAACGGTCAGCGAGGAACAAATTCTACATTCGTACCCGTAGGTACAAATATCACCCCTGCTTCAAATGTTTCATCTGTACCTACTCCCCTCGCTGCTAACAATGTTCAGCAAGTTAATGGAGCTACCTATGCTGCTATTGCAGCGGGTAGAAATCAAAATACTAGCCAAAGTAATTCTAACGGAAATTTTGACAATTTTGATTTAGGAAGCATTACTGCCCCTAAAATGGAATTTTTACAGAAATCATTAATTGACATGATTTCTGATATGCTAAAATCTAACTCCATGTTTGATGCTATTCAAACTGGAGTAAAATTTGCAAATAATATTGTCATGACTTTAAAATTCAGTAATGGATTTTAAAGCATTAAATATTGTAAATTGGAATGCTCGATCTCTTAAAGATAATGAAGACGAGCTATTTAACTTTTTGCGAGTTCATAACGTGCATATTGCCGTTATAACTGAAACGTTCCTTAAACCTGACCATAAGGTTAAGAAGGACGCAAATTACTTGATTTATAGAAATGATCGTCTTGATGGACCCTGTGGTGGCGTTGCCATCATTATTCATAGACGAATCAAACATAAAATTCTTTCTTCATTTGAAACCAAAGTTTTTGAAACTTTGGGAGTTTCTGTTGAAACAAAATTTGGACAACTTACGTTTATAGCTGCCTATTTGCCATTCCAATGCGTAGGCCAGAAAAAGAATTTTCTCAAGGGTGACCTCCAGAAACTTACCCGTCATAGGTCTAAATTCTTTATTATTGGTGATTTTAATGCAAAACACCGCTCATGGAATAATGCTCAAAGCAATTCTAATGGTAATATTCTGTTTGATGATTGTTCTGCAGGTTATTACACTATTCAATATCCAAACAGCCCAACATGCTTTTCTTCTGCAAGAAATCCCTCCACTATTGATTTGGTCTTAACTGATTCATGTCAACTTTGTAGCCAATTGGTTACCCATGCTGACTTCGGTTCTGATCACCTTCCAGTAACTTTTGAAATATCCCAAGAAATAATTTGTAATCCCAACAGCTCTACTTTCAATTACCATAGAGCTAATTGGGAGCAATATCGAACATTTATGGAATATAACTTCGATCCAAACATTCCTTTGCAAACCAAAGATGAAATTAATTATGCTCTTGAATCTCTGACTACTTCTATAGTTGCAGCAAGAGCTGCCTCAGTACCAAAATGCGAGGTTAAATTCGATTCAATTATAATAGACGACGATCTTCAGCTCTTGATCCGTCTTAAAAATGTTCGTAGGAGACAATATCAAAGAACACGCGATCCTGCCATGAAGGTTATCTGGCGGGATTTGCAAAAACAAATTAAAAAGCGATTCTCTGCCCTGAGGAACAAAACTTTTGAAAATAATATTTCTAAATTAGACCCGAGTTCCAAACCTTTTTGGAAACTCACAAAAATTTTGAAAAAACCTCAAAAGCCTATTCCAGCGCTTAAAGAAGGTGGTAAAATTTTGATCACAAATTTGGAAAAAGCTCAGAAACTTGCTAAGCAATTCGAGAGTTCCCATAATTTCAGTTTGGGTCTTACTAGTCCTATTGAGAATCAGGTTGCTCGGGATTTTCTGAATATTTTCTCTCGGGAAAATATTTTTGATGATTCCTGGGGGACTGATTTGGACGAAGTAAGGTCTATAACTAAAAAGTTTCAAAATATGAAAGCTCCAGGTGATGATGGAATTTTCTATATCCTCATCAAAAAACTCCCAGAGAGTACCTTGTCTTTCCTGGTAAAATTATTTAACAGATGTTTCCATTTGGCATACTTTCCTGATAAATGGAAAAATGCAAAAGTTGTTCCAATTTTGAAGCCGGATAAAAATCCATCTGAAGCTTCTAGCTACCGCCCAATAAGTTTGCTTTCTTCAATAAGTAAACTTTTTGAAAAGATAATTTTGAATAGAATGATGCTTCACATCAATACGAACTCAATTTTTGCAGATGAGCAGTTTGGATTTCGCCATGGGCATTCAACTACTCATCAACTCTTAAGAGTTACCAATTTAATTCGTTCAAACAAATCGGAAGGCCACTCAACTGCAGTTGCTCTTCTAGACATAGAAAAAGCATTCGACAGTGTTTGGCATGAAGGTTTGATTGCTAAATTGAAAAAGTTTAATTTTCCACTTTATATTATGAAATTAGTTCAAAATTATTTAACTGAAAGAACTCTGCAGGTAAATTATCAAAATTCCAAATCTAATCGACTACCTGTTAGAGCAGGTGTTCCTCAGGGTAGCATTCTTGGGCCTATATTGTATAACATTTTCACTTCGGACCTCCCTGATTTGCCTCAGGGTTGCCACAAATCTTTGTTCGCTGATGACACAGGCATTTCCGCTAAAGGAAAAAGTCTTCGTGTTATTTGCAGCAGACTGCAGAAAAGTTTAGATATTTTCTCTTCTTATTTACAAAAATGGAAGATTTCTCCCAACGCTTCCAAAACTCAACTTATAATATTTCCACACAAGCCTAGAGCTTCGTTTTTGAAACCTAGTAGTAGTCACATAGTCACTATGAACGGAGTTCCAATTTCCTGGTCAAACCAAGTGAAATATCTTGGATTAATACTTGACCAAAAATTAACTTTTAAAGATCACATTGAGGGCATTCAAGCCAAATGTAACAAATATATTAAATGTTTGTATCCTCTTATAAACAGGAAATCCAAACTTTGCCTGACGAATAAACTTCTAATATTTAAACAAGTTTTTAGACCGGCCATGCTTTACGCTGTGCCAATATGGTCTAGTTGTTGCACTACCAGGAAAAAAGCACTTCAAAGGATTCAGAACAAAGTTCTGAAAATGATTTTGAAGTTGCCTCCCTGGTACAGTACTACTGAGGTACATAGAATTTCGAATGTTGAGACTTTAGAACAAATGTCCAACAAAATAATTAATAATTTCAGGCAAAAATCGTTGCAATCCTCAATTGCAACGATTAATTCCCTTTATACTTAGATAAGATTTAGTTTTAGTTTTTAGTTTTAAGATTTCAATTGTTATACTGACATGCAGGTTTAAAAAACCTGTTTAAAATACTTAATTGCCAAGACATGAACAATGTAAAAACACTTAGATATATATCATAACAATTAAGGCTGGTACGTTACTGCAGTAACTGGAGCACCTAGGTTAAAAATGAAATGTAATTTATTTTGAATTTGGAACAAATAAAGAGTTAAAAAAAAAAAAAAAAAAAAAAAAAAAAAAAATTGATTCATTCTGAAGAAAAATAATTTCCAATCCCAATGAAATTCAACTTTATTGTTCACGAATATCCATACATCAACAAGAATTCGTTTTATTGACAAGACCTTGAAGTGCATCCTGGACATCTGCCGTTATCAAATCAACGCATTCCTTAACAGCTGGCTTCCCCGGTTGAATTATCGACGCAGGAATTCCACTCAGACTCGAAACGGCGTTGACTATGTTATTCAGCAGGTTCGGCAGGTCATTGAAAAACTGGAACATATAAAACAAGTGATGATCGTTCAGAACCATACAACACACTTATCTAGAGAACTTACCTTCGTTACGCAATCGGAAGAAGTCGGCGAACACGTGTTCAAAAGGCTAATAATAGTCGTTATTCCGTTCTTGCCACTGTCAAACATTGCTAGGGCGGAGTCAGACACCGCTTTAAAATAAGGAACCGCTAGACTGATACATTGTTGCAATCGTCCGACTGACATCTGTGGCTGAACCAATTGCGGAGCGTACTTCTGAGCGCAACTTTGCCATTGCTGAGCGTAGAAGGTCGTCATGGCAGTCAGAATATTCTGCACGATGGTTTGAGCCGGAATCATTACATTATTGGTCACACTTTGCTTGTAGTCGTCTGCGATGTACGCAACATACGGTTTATAGTTGGCTGCCTTAAAAATCTGATTCGCAGTGTTCTTCAACTGGTCCATAGTGAGATTCAAATTCGGGTATTTGACCCACAATACGAACAGGGACTGCCGAATAGAATCATCTATATTGTCTAGACCTGCCAGGACACGGTTTCGCTGCTCGATAATTGATTGATTCATCTGCGTTGCAGCATCGTTGAGCTGTGCCAACCCAGTTTGGATGGCTGCATAGTTGGCCTGCGATAGAGCGTACCAGTCCAGCGCAAGGGTTGTGTAAACCGAAGCAAATGCGAGTAGTGCTACCAGATGCAATTTCTCCATTGTGATAGTTATTCGTTCACTGAATTCGGAACGAGACATTCTTATCTTTTATATAGCCAGCTTACATCAAATTACTGTTTACACATCTGTTTCAAGCCGTCAACAATGGTGAGCACAGCTCACGAGAAGCGGATGTTACGTGATTAAAAAAAAATATTCATTTATGTATATATGAATTCATAATTTCTCTTACCTCAATGTTTGCCAAAGGAAATGACCTACATGTACAGAGTATCCAGAAATTTCCCTGTCTTGTATCATAGAAAAATCAGCTGTACGAGCACAAAGAGCACTTCCACGCCAAATGACGAATTGGAAAAACTCGACCATCTGTATGAAACTTTGCATAAATGTTATGAAATGTGAACGAATCCTACCCCAATCAACACAAATGTGCTACAACAGTTTATATCACCTTGGTATGTCTTGTTTTGGTTGTATAGCAGTATACTCAACATAATTCTTTGAATTTGTGTTCCTTGGGACTCGTTCACCGGTAGTGATGATAATTATGCGTATAGGAAAACCTGAACATTTTTTTAGTATGAACTTGTATATGGAGTTTAAAGCAAGGAGAAAAAGAGGTACTGAATGATCCGATCTTTGAGGAACTCCATTTTCTTGATTAGTTCTATTGGACATGTGCCCAGCAAATCTAGAAGTTGGAAATGAAGTTGTTCATCTTAATTTAAAAATGATTTTTCACTACTGGGTCCATAATGTTTCGATGCCAGACTCTGTCGTATGCTTTCTTAATTCTTAATAAATTTCTTAATTTCTTAATATCGGTCTGACGGTGTTCTCTTTTTTGGAAGCCTTTGTAATCATGTCATCCAATAACCGTTTTCCTCTAAGCGCGCGATGATTCACCATTTATTCCATGGTTTTGACCACACAACTCATTGGAGAAATTGGACGGAAGTTACTAGCTTCGTTTCTGTTTCCTACAACCTAGCCATAAAATGGAAAGGAATTCGTTTAACCTATTTCATCCAGTCTAACTGATGTTAGTGCTGTGCTTTCTAATACTTGGAAGCAGGGTTCTGCATTTTCGAAACAAAGAAAAGAAAATGAACTCTCCGCAGAATCGCTTCATTTCGAGCAATATCATTTTCGTGTCATCGCGTTTCTTGTTATCGAGTCACGATGAACATTCCTCTTATCAAACATGACGCAATGAATGACTCGAAAACTGCTTCCTTCGTTTTTTTCCGCTTTCGCTTCAATTCGGGGCTCATTCGATTTCCCACGACCTGACGACGCAGGCATCAAAATATAGTATCCGGATAGTATCCACACAATATCGACGACGCGAAAGTGCCGAAAATCGATATTCGACGTTATTTTGGAATCCAAAACGGCGGCCATCGGGTTTCAGAAAAAGTTTCAAATACCCTACAATAGAATATTTTCGGAACGGGGATCCGACGCCATTTTGGAATTCAAGATAGTGGCCATTGGTTTTATGAAGTATCAAATACCCTAAGATATGGGTATTTTCGGAGCCAATATGGCAGCCATCAGGATTCAGAAAGTGTCAACTATCCTACAACATAGGTATTTTCGGAACGGGGACGACGCGTGGCTGCCGAAAATCGATATCCGATGATATGTTTAACTCCAGCAAAAGTGTCAAATAGCCTACAATATGGTAAATTTTTGGAACAGGGACAACGCGTAGATGCCGAAAATCAATATCAGATACCACTTTGGAATCCAATATGGCGGCCATCAGGGTTCAGAGAGTGTCAAATTATAATATGCTTATTTTCGGAATGAGGACAACGTGTGAAAGTCGAAAATCGATATCAGATGCCATTTTGGAATCCAATATGGTGGCCATCGGGTTTCACAAAAAGTGTCAAATACCCTAAGATCTGGGTATTTTCGGAACGAGGACGACGCGTAGATGCTGAAAATCGATATTCGTTGCTATTTGTAGACTATTTGTCTTCTGAAATCGGAAGCCACCATCTTGAATTTCAAGATGGCGTCGGACATCGATTTCTGGCTTCTAGATGTCACCCTGATGCTAAAAAAAACCGTTTGTATGGGTATTTGATAGAATTTAAAACTTTCTCTCAACCCTGAAGCCACCATCATGGATTTTAAAATGGCGTCGGATCAGTGTTGGAAAAGTTCGCGATATTTCACGAAGTTTACCAAGGGAAAAGTTCACGAGTCATAGTGAGTTTTCGCGAACTTTTCCATCACTGCGTCGGATATCGATTTTCGACGCCATCCCGATTCCAAAAATACTAATATTGATGGGTATTTGACAGTAGTTCCCACTTAATCTAAAATCGGAAGCCGCCATCATGGATTTCGAATATCAATTTTCGATCTGTAGACTTCATACCGATTACAAAAATACTAATATTGATGTGTATTTAACTGTATTTCCACTTTTTCGTAAATTGGAAGGCGCCATCTTCAATTTCGAAATGGTGTCGGATATCGATTTTCATCCTCTAGACATCATCTCGATTCCCAAAATACCTTTATTGATAAGTATTTGATAGCATTTCCCACTTTTTCTTAAACTGGAAGCCACCATCTTGGATGTCAAAATGGCGTCGCTTTTCAATTTTCGATATCTAGATATCACCCCGATTAAACAAATACCCAAACAACAAAAGTCATAAAAACCGCACGAATTTGGATCGAACAGCTTTGCATCAATGCATGCAAAAGTAAATTTATTTGACAATGAAAGAAGAAACGAGCACGAGTCAAGCTAAAACAAACAGCATGAAAACTGATCGAAAGTGATTCTGTTGATGTTGAGGGGGATCTGCTCGAAAAGAAGACAGAATGACTTTCAATTGAAAGTGATGGTTGACAGCTTCATCGTCGCTTGACGATTTTCGATTGAAAGTGACTTTGTGGGGGCCCTGCTCGGAAGAGCTCTTGAATCGGTGTCTATTCAAGGCAGTATCTTAATCTGTGTCAAGCTCAAGTTCAATATCTTCCCTTTGCTGTTTACATCGCAGGAACGCTTCCGAATAACATTCTACATGTGAGTTTACAAGTTATTTCTCTTAAGGGGAGGTTTACTTGGATTTTTTCAAAAAAATTGATTTTTTTGCATAAAATGAAAGCTACAAGTGTGTAGAATATGTGGCCAAAAGGATTTTACGATCCGAAACATATTTAGCGAGTTATGGCGCTTTGAGTGAACCTTTGTCATGCGCGCTGAGGGACGCAACAAAAACTTTAAACGCGTTTTTTCTCGAAACCATATTTTTTATAACAACTTAGAGCATAGGGCTTGAACAAATGATCCGATTTACAATCGGAAAATTGCGCTTTGAAGGATACAATTTTTTGTATGGCTTATACCTAAATTGAAAAGTTACTATTTTTTAAGCAAGGTCAAAGTGAGAAAAAAAGAGGTAAAAAAAGCACTAAATTTTCAAATGTCCATAATTTGGTCAATTTTTGTCGGATTTCGTTCTAGTTAGGTATAAGCCATAGGGAATATTATCAAATTTAACCACAATAAAAAAATTTCATTTCAGTTCACCACCAGAGGGTGTGCACTCGAAGTTCTGCAGCAAAACCTGACTGACACTCCTCCACGCGAGCCGCCATTTTGTTTTTTACCTTCAAAAAATTTCCAAGTATTCAGGAATAGTGAACAAATATAATTATCGAAACCGGAAGTTCGTATGTCTTTTCATTCTCCTGAAAAAAAATTCCAAAGTTCAACTGTTTTTCAGCCAAATCCAAGTAAACCTCCCCTTAAGCAAAAACAAGGGGAAAAAGGATAAAACCCAACAAACAGAAAATGAACCAGTGCACTTCATGGGAGATCGAATCTCATTCAATCTGTTTTACCGCGATGCTCCGAATACCGGACGACTCTTTAATCCAGACATTTTATTTTTAATTAATTATTACTTCTACTTTGCAACATAACAAAACATCAGTGATGATTATGGACGATGCTATAATGTCATGTTAATATTTACGATCTGTTTTAAGCATAGTATGCATTGATAATTAGCTATAAAAGCAGGGTTGCTTCCACTCACTTGCTATAAAAAAAAATATTATTCGGAATTATGCAATCTTACTTGATACTTGATACTTGATGGGCTACGAATCGCCAGGTTGATTCAACGCCGAACGAAGTACTCTTCTCCATTGGACTCGGTCCTGAGCCAATCGCTTCCAGTCGCCATGAACGTTTAGCGACCTGATGTCCTCCTCAACTGCAAATAGCCAACGTGTCCGAGGTCTACCCCGGAGTCGACGACCTCTACCGGGTTCTCTGCTGAATATAATATTTGCTTGTCGTTCTTCCGGCATCCGCACTACATGCCCAGCCCACCGTAGTCTGCCGTGTTTTATAAGCTTCACTATATCCGTACCGTTATACACTTGGTACAACTCGTGATTCATGCGACGCCGCCAGATGCCATTCTCCTGTTTACCGCCGAGTATTGTTCGCAGCACCTTACGCTCGAAGACACCAAATGCTCTCCAGTCAGACTCTTTTATCGTCCACGATTCGTGGCCGTAGAGGGCTACCGGAAGTATCAGCGTCTTATACATAGCGAATTTCGTTTTCGTTTGCAGGCTACGGGACTTCAGCTGGCTACGTAATCCGTAAAAGGCCCTGTTTGCAGCTGCAATACGTCTCTTCACCTCGCGGGTAACATGATTATCGCATGTCACTAGTGTTCCAAGATACACAAATTCTTCCACTACCTCAAATTGTTCACCATCTAACAACACTACACTACCAACACCACTATTGCTCCCACGCTGTCTACCGGCTACCATGTACTTCGTTTTGGTAGAACTTATCGTGAGCCCAATCCTCGCCGTCTCCCTCTTAAAAGGCACAAACGCCTCTTCCACTGCTCTACGGTCAATTCCGATGATATCGATGTCGTCCGCAAAGGCAAGGAGCATGTACGATCGTGTGATGATGGTACCGTTCCTCTGCACACCAGCTCTCCTAATCGCTCCTTCAAGAGCAATGTTGAACAGTAAGTTTGAAAGTGCATCACCCTGCTTCAATCCATCTAAGGTCACGAACGAGGTCGAAATCTCATCTGCAACCCTTACACTTGATTTCGATCCATCTAGCGTTGCGCGAATCAGTCTAATTAGTTTCGCCGGAAAACCATGTTCTAGCATAATCTGCCAAAGCTCATTTCTCTTCACTGAATCGTATGCTGCTTTGAAATCAATAAACAGATGGTGAGTCTGCAAGTTGTACTCCCGGAATTGATCAAGGATTTGACGCAGGGTAAACATTTGATCCGTCGTTGATCGGCCCTCACGAAAACCAGCCTGGTATTCACCGACGAAGGACTCCTCAAGCGGTCTCAATCTGTTAAACAGAACGCGTGACAGTATTTTGTACGCCGAATTCAGAAGAGTTATTCCTCGATAATTGGCGCACTCGAGTCTGTGCCCTTTTTTGAATAATGGGCAAATGAGGCCATCCAACCAGCTAGCAGGCAGTTCTTCGTCCTCCCATATCTTCGTTTGAATACGGTGGATTGCTTGATGCAGCTGCTCACTTCCGTGTTTGAAAAGTTCGGCCGGGAGCTCGTCCTTCCCAGCAGCCTTATTGTTTTTCAGCTCACGTATTGCCTTTTTAACCTCGTCTAGCGTTGGAGGCTCCACAGCTTGATCGTCGTCTGCGATGTTTACCCTGTTCCTCGATACTCCCTCACTCTCTCCATTCAACAATGTCTCAAAATGTTCTTTCCACCTGGCAGCCACCATTGTTTTATCTGTCAGCAAATTCCCCTCAAGGTCATTGCACATGGCGGGAGATGGCGCTGTTTTACTCCGCACACCATTGACAGTCGCGTAGAACCTTCGCATATCTGTTCCATACTTTCTTGCGCCTCAGCAATCACGCGTTCTTCGTATTGCCTTTTCTTTCTGCGGTGGGTTCGTTTCTCAGCTGCCCTTGCTACCTTGTACCGCTCTCTGTTCAGCCGGGTACCAGACACTAACATCCGGCTTCTGGCAACGTTCTTCTCATCCGTCAACCTCTGGCACTCCTCATCAAACCAGCCATTACGTGGTCGTCTTTGAGCTGTACCTATCACTTCTTGTGCTGTTGTGTTCACCGCTCCGTGGATTGTGTTCCACAGATTGTTGAGATCCTCGTTCACGTTGATTTCGCTAATCCGCTCATCAAGCTTCTGGCGGTACTTTGCAGCAACACCTTCTACTGACAAGCGATGGATATTGAAACGCATCGATCTCCGGTTTGTTGAATTCGTAACGGTCGATAGACGCGCCAGAATTTTGCAGACAACAAGCCCCCTAAAAGTCCTTACATCAATGACATCTGAGAAGTGCCGGCCATCCACCAACATGTGATCGATCTGGGTGCAAGTTTCGCCATTTGGGTGTCTCCAGGTGTGCTTTCGGATATTCTTGCGTGCAAAGTAGGTGCTACTGATGGCCATACCTCTAGCAGCGGCGAAGTTTATCAGTTTCAGGCCGTTATCATTGGTTACTGTATGTAGGCTCTCTGTACCAATGATTGGACGAAAGAAATCTTCCCTCCCGACCTGCGCATTTGCATCTCCGATTACAATCTTCACGTCGTGTTTTGGGCACTCATCATAAGTTTTATCGAGACTGTCATAAATCGCGTCCTTCACGTCATCGGATTTATCGTTGGTTGGCGCATAGATGTTGATCAGGCTGTAGCTGAAGAATTTGCCCCGAATCCTTAATACACAGATGCGGTCGCTTACCGGTCTCCACCGCATAACACGCTTCATCTGCTTCCCGATCACTATGAACCCTACTCCATGTTCTGCCCTATCGCCACCGCTGTGATAGATATGATACTTGAAGGAAGTGTTGGCGATGGGGTCCACCGCCCGGAATTCACGTTCTCCGGATCTAGGCCACCGTACTTCCTGAATAGCAGCTACGCTCACATTCACTTTTTGCAGTTCACGAGCCAAAAGGCCCGCTCGTCCAGGTTCATTTAAGGTTCTGACATTCCAAGTACCGAGTTTCCATTCATTGTCCTTATTTCGTTGCCGGGTCGGTTGCCGAAAATTCCGTTCGTTGTTTTCTCTTTCTTCGTTTTTCTGAGTAATGTTGGGGGTTTCAGTATGCTACCTTACCGGGGTCGCGATACCTACATCATGTTGGTGGGGCTGCCACCTTAGGTGTAGCTGACGTGATACAGCATTTCTTATTCAGCCGCTCGCTCCGAGACAGACGCTGTTTGAGCCGCACCTCCATGGTGAACAGACGCTCGAGGGTCGCACCTCCTCACTTTTCTATCACCACGATCCGGATCCATGTTTTTATCGTGGTGACATTGCCCAGGCTACGCTACCAGCATCTTTTGCTGGCGGTCTTTGTCATCGGCTGACCCGTGGAAGCGTGAGGTAGGAACTTGTGAGGACCAGAGCTGTTGGGACAACACTCCTTCCAGTTTGTCGACTCACCATTTGTAGCCCTATTATTATAATTATGCAATCATTAGATGCAATAATGCAATGTTGTACTTATTAGTAACAAGACGAGGGAGCGCTCACTCAGAGTGAGCGCTCACGAGTCGTAAAATCTCTGATTGTGACACACTGAATGCAATATTGACAGATTTGATGTGTCAAACATATACTTCATGATCTCTTCTTGTAACTTACAAGTACTAATAAGCATTATACTATATCATGATTTCTTAATACCGAAAAACATTTTTTTATAGCAAGTGAGTGGAAGTAACCCTGTTTAAAAGTGTCCGGATTTTGATGCTTAATGGTATATGTCATCATCCGAAATCTTGCAAGATCGTATCAATTGTCCAGGGTCTTTTGAACTCTCGCCTTTTAATACTTTTAATAACATAATTTTGCGCAAACCTTGCACTTCATCGTCTCGATCAAATCTCGTCATAAATTACCCATCTCTTCGAATTATGGTACCAACATATTTCTTTCGATTAACCTTGCCCATTGATGATAATCGCTACCAGCACCTGAAGAGCTGCTGCAGCACGTCGGTTGCAATGGAACCTGATCCCGAAGATATAAATTCCAATTACCAAATCGCCATAACTTAAATCCTATATAGGTACACCGAAACCAAGCGGCATCGGCGTCGAGATACCATCGATCGCCGGTCGCGGTTTGCCGGGTTATCTGCAAAGTGGCATCTACGACGCCATAAATTCCCACTTCCGCCCGGATTTCTTGATTACGCTGCGAAGATAACCGATGTATGCCATGGATGCTGCCGGACGAATAGTGCACCCTGTTTGTCACGGTTGGTACCAGGATCTCCGCTTCAAGGATGGCGGGTGCCGAGCAGCATGTGCGCAGCCGCGAGATGTTGTCAAACTGCCGCCGTGTCGTTTGTTTTCACCGTCAGGTTGTCCGTCGTCAGTGGGAGTTTGTGGAGTGCTGTATCCGATGCAGATTCTTCTTCCAAGACGTAGACGGGAAATTCAGTTGTTTTGGTTTGGTTCAATAATTTGCCTTTTCTACTACCATAAGCAATCTCAATCGGCAGTAACTTGTGCAGCAATCAGCCTTATATAGATCTACATAGAACACGTCCATCGTACTTGTAATTAGTCGAAAACCAAAGAACAAAGATGCGTTGTGCGGTGTGCAATTATTTCACCTGGAGCTATTTTATCGCTTTTGCGGAAATTTTCGTTTCGTTCAAAGTGGCCTCGGCTCTGCTGGCATGTTCCCGTGTCAATGAGCTGGATCGCGATATTGCATGCTATGACGGTGAGTAAGGGGGTGGTGGGTGATTGCAGAGAGAAAACAATAAGAATAAATCTAATCGTGAATCACTTTCATTTCAGTTGAACCGGTGTTTGTGATGCTGGTTCTGTACAACTTTCTGTCGCTCACCCTCATCATTGGAGTGTTCAAGGTAGGACCAAAGCAGACAAAAGATATATTTTAATAAACAGATGATCGATTGGGAAAACATTTGTTCCCCTGACCGTGTTTGCTAGGCATGATAAATGGACATTTGAAAACTGTTGCCATTATTGCAGGCATTGAATGTGGGTCATTTCATCGAACATCGGAATTATTTTGGAAATATTACTCACTCCAAAGACATCAATCTTGATAAAATTGTTCTTTTATATATTAAAGCTTTGCTAACATCCCTTTCCAAGAACATTTAAATCAAATGTGTGCCAGATACACGAACACATTTTTGACGTAGGACGAGTTTATTTTATGTTTCTCTATTAATTTTATTAGGGTAAATGTCGGTTTCGGCAACCAAAGTTTAAACGTTGATTTCACTCTGATTTCCCATCAAAACTCTTCGCTGAATGTATTAAAACGATTTATTAGTATTTCAGCTTCAACCTGATTACATTTGTACGACTGATCAATCCTGTTATGTCAGATTTTTCCTTAAATACAATATACGCACTACATGCGGCTGATTTAGAGTTTCCGATAAAGGATCAGCTGGTTAACACGGAGTTCAAATGGAAAGATTGTCCAAGAAAAAGAGGCTGCCGACAATGGTCACACTCACGTGAGCGTTGTAGAAACGATTTCAAACAGTTTTGAACAATTTTGTGGATTGTAATGCTTATAGCAGCAGATAAATTTAAACAAAAAAAATACGTAATTTGTGTGCTTGACGCTGCGAAAATACTTATAGAAATGCGGACGCTGCTTGGATTGACGAGAATAGGTAAATTCCCCCACCTAGGTAAATACTAAACAGAATTTGAACAAATTCAGATACCGATTGAAAAGTGAGGGTCTGGTTTTCGAAACACGTAGTTTTTTTTTTTTTTTTTTTTTTATCGTATAAGCTCTTTAGACTCAGAGACGATAAATGAGAACTAACAGAACCACAAGTGAACTTTTGAGAAATTAAGGGGGACCAGAAATTCAACAATTCATTCAGGTTCAGTAAACTTCACATAAGCTAAGGGATGTTTGATGAAGCTTACAAAACCATAAATTAAATTCACAATCCATAGGATTTCATGGGATTTTAGAAGTTCAAGCCACTTAAGTGCACTTGGAGGAATTTCCGGCAACCTAATAAAAATGAAGAAAAATTTTCATAGAACTTTATAAAACAACGAACCTCAGATTAGTTTTCAAAACATAAAAAAAAACTCAGTGAATAAGATTTCACTGGGAGTTTCGGTCGAAAACGGTTGTGTTTTGACTCCGCTGCGTTCTAATTTAATTTTTTGAGCTCGGTCTATTTTTGTGCTTTATTAGTTTTGTGTCCCGGGCACTATAATTTGATTTGGAATGGTTTGTGCAAATGTTTTTCCCCTGTGTTTGCATAGGTGCTTGGTGTGCTCTCGCTTCTCTTTGTTGCCAGTGTGACTCAACCGCGCTGATCTATTGTTCGGTTTTTGCGATGAGCATTGCAAGCATTGCACAGGGTGATTCGTAATAGAAAAAGAATATAATGCCTAAGTTTGAGCTTGGTCTTTGGCTGATCGCAGTGAATGATGGGGATGGAAGTGCCAATCAAAAAAAAGAAAAGATATGGAAATGAAATAGGGTAGCCCATTTCAGGCCTATCGAGCAGAAAACATCAAATAAATCCATGATTTCAGAGTTAACAAGTCAATTATGCGTTTGTTATGATACTTTAGTTCAAAAGCTACCGAACGAAGTCAAGACGAACACGTGATATAAATGTTTGCACGCATTATTCCCAAAAACAAAAGAAGCGCTCCAACCGAATCAATTTTTATCTTCATCCGATAGGTCGAAGTGAATTCAATGGCGTTTCAATGCGTTGGGCTGAATCCGTAGATCGAGCTTAGGGTTAATAAGCAATATTATATTTTTATCAATGAGGCTTATTCTGCGCAGTGCGTGCAGTGAGGTGACTCGAGGCTAGCGAATGTGGTTAGCAAAGTCACCTCTGATAAACACCGATGAACTCTCACCGCATTTTCACAGTCGTTTTTCGGTGACAAGAGTCGTATTGAAGTGAAATTTTCAGGTGACTCTAGTCGATACGTTTGGAAGTGACGGCTCTGATGAAAATAGAAAGAAAATTGAATCAATAGCCTATCAAATGTGTGGTAAGTGCAATTAACGTTTTGTCTGCCAGGTTTATAACCATTGAAAAAAGTTCGCAGAGTTTCTCTAAAGATTGCATAAATTGCCTGAAATTCACAGATTTTCCTTAAATTCACAGAATTTTCTCTCAAATTCGTAGAACTTTCCTAAAATTCTCAGGATTTCCCTAAAGTTCACAGAACTTCCCTGAAGTTCACAAAACTTCCATGGAATTCGCATAATTTTCATGAAGTACTCAGAACTACCCTGAGGTTCGCAGAATTTCCATGAAAATTAACAGAATTTTTCTGGAGCTAACCAAATCTCCCTGAGGTCATACTTGTAGTCATTTTCTTATAAGGGGTTTCTAGCTTCTTAACAAAAATACATAGCATGACTGCTCTAAAGAATCACAGCTTACCTGACTCATACTGAATCTGTAGGAAATTAACTCATCTAATTGTACGTTGATTGCTATGTTAGATCAGACGAGTATAAGTTCCTGCGGACTGCGTCCCAATTACAGCACCTTAAACTTAATTTTAAGACTTTCATCCCAATAAGATCTTCAACTGAACCGGGGTTACTAAGTCGGTTGTTTCGTTTCGATGTTATTAAATTAGTATTGTGAATATTCCGTACCCTGAATAAACAATCAAATCTGGGGATTGGACACATTCGAAACATTTATTTTACTATTATTTTTGGAATCTTTTTCTTGCTCCTCATTATTCCACCTTCCCCTGCATCTATATCAAAACTATGATCATGTCCTTCACGCTTTTATGGCATACTAGTTCATTGTCAAATTAAATTCAGCAATGGTTAATTTCGTAACTATCACAGCGGAACATAAGCCTACCTATGGAAAATATAGCAAGGAAAACTTATCAGGTATTATCTTTGTAAAGGTAATTGAAATGGGGAACTTTCCTTCCCGGGTATTCCCACGGGAATAGCTGAGCTTCTAGTAGCTGATCAAACGGAAAAATGGGCACTCTTGGATAATTGCGGTTCTTGCTCCACAATCGTGAGAAGAACGAGTAAACCGTAAGCCCAAAACTACTGGGAGGATGTATACATTCCCAGCAGGATAAAAAAAAACAATTATTGACCCTTTGTAGAGCCTTAACTGCTTTCGGGGACGTCACTTCATTTGAATAGCTTTTTGATAAGTGGTTATAGAACAACCACAGCCAAACATACATAACATTCGCAAGTTGTTCATCGAACAAGTATTTAACTTTTTCTAAATTTGCATAGATTTCAAAATTTTATTAGCTCTAAAAATACAATTTCTCAACCGTTTTCTTCACAACAAGTTGAATTTTGTCGGGAATCTATTGAAGTTTTTGAATCCATCTGAAAACATTTGGATCAATACAAGGTTCCGTAGTTATCCCGGTTCCCGTTGGGGTCACTTTTGGTTGATGGAAATGTTTCGGTGCCCGCGGGGAAGTGGCCAATTCTCAACACGAACAAAACCTTTCGTGCGACATATCAAACTTCATGATTTTACAAATCTTGGCCGGTACTGGCCTTATTGAGAGTTCACGGTCACACTAGCCCTCCCGGGCATGTCCTGGTGCCCCCGGAGAAGTGACCAATTCTAGACAAGAACCAAAACCTATCGTGCGACACCTCAAACTTCACGATTTTACAAATCTTGGCCAGTAATGGCCTTATTGAGAGTCCACTGCCACACTAGTCCTCCCAGGCATGTTCCGGTGCCCCGGGGAAGTGGCCAATTCTCAACAAGAATTAAAAACCATCGTGCAGCACATCAAACTTCATCATTTAACAAAAATCGGCCGATAATGGCCTTATTGATAGGCCACGGACATACAAGCTCTCCCGGGCTTGTTCTGGCGCCCTCAGAAATATTACGGTCCCCCCGGAAAGTTACCAATTCTCAACAAGAACCAAAACCCGTCGTGCGACATATCACATTTCTTGATTTTGCCAAACTTGGTCAGTATTGGCCTTATTTAGAGTCCACATATCTCGAAAACCACTGAACTTAATTTGAGTTGATGCTAGTTCAGACCTTGAATAATTTACATCACATTCTTGCAACATGAAAGCGGCCAGATGACGCACAATAAATGTCCTCAAAAGCACTCTTATTAGTCCGCAAAGGTAAATAAAATGTAATTCAATTGATTAAGAGTTGACGCGTAAAATTTGCGTGAATCACACATTAGACCTAGAATATTATATCTAAATAACGTTTTGATGGGCGACATAAACCAAGCATAATCGTAAGCGACCAGGAGGACATTTCTGGAGGCAGTGGAACATGACTGGGAGGGTCAATTTAATGGGACTGTGGACTGTCTAAGTCCATTACTACACGCAAACTAAAAATTTATTACAATGAATGTTAGTTCCATTTCCAATCATCCTCTGTTCATGAACATCGCAGCGAATGTTAGAAGTTGACCTTGCAGGCGGTGTAATGGTTTTTTGCCTTTTTTATTTCGTGTTCTGTCTGTGCTTTCATCTACACAAGCAAGCATTTGCCTTGATTTTTATGTATAACATGGCAGAACGACGCACACACTTGCCTCGAATCTCTCCAGCAGAAAAAGCATACGAAGTCAAGTGTGAGAGGAAATGAGCGCTTCTTGTTTGCTTTTAGGCTATCCATATTCAGAAGCATGGAGAGAGCAGTGGAAAAAGCACACGTCTGATAATCACAACGTTCGTGGTTCGAGTCCAGTCGGAAATCTGTTTCCTATTTTTTTCAACATAACTAATTTACCTCACTAATACACTCAACATTTTTCGGTCTCCAATTTTCTTGCATTGGACCGCAGCTTGCTATATCGCATCCTCGGTTCATGCGGTCTCCACTAACATCCT